CGGTTTTGCCGTTCTTCCTAACGATTCTGGAACAGCTAGGATCCACGTCCAGCATCACGTTCACGACATCGAAATGGTCCTGGACTGCCGCTGAGTACAGCGGGCTGGTGTTGGATGAGTCGCATATTCCACAGAGCTCTGGCCATAGGCTCAGTAACTCCTTCACGATTCCTGAAAACATGAAAGCAGGTGTGAAAAAGGAGAGCCATGTGCCCTGATGTATCAGAAGCATATAGAAAAAACTTATATTTTGTCAGGAACGGCAGAAATCGAAGGTTTGGATCGACACTTGTTTCAGGAAACAACAGCAAATACTAAGGCTAGTCTGAGGGAAAAACTTAATTGGAGGTCTATATGAAGAAATATGCCCAAAAGAATGACCCAACACCAGCAAAATCTATTGAGCTGCAAGAATGCAAAACTCAGAAAAATAGAGTTTCTACTCAATCTGTAAAGGCTTTGATTTGATCTCTGCTGAGTATTCGATATTCAGACCAAACTCGAAGAAATCTGACTGAGTTAAGCTTGGAAACCATCTGTTCTTGAGATATCCTTGTCTGACAAAGACACAAAGAAAAGAGTCCAAAAACGCCAAATCTCCAACGCAGACTAGAAAAAATGGAAAGCAGTATATGGAAATAAAGAAGACAGAGCCAAAGAACCAAAGAAGTGGATGGAACATAAACAACACAATAGAACCGAAACTCATCTTCTCTACACCTTTCTCCTAAGTGGAATTCCATGGAAGATTGCGCATCAAACATTGGAAATAAGGTCTTGACATCTCATGCAGTTGTACAACACAATACAGATACTAGGCCCTAGCTATAAACTCAAGAATCAGCATAATCCATCAGAACCCGGAACACCCAAATCACACAACGGGGGAAATTGAACATACCCAAGTGCCCACGCTTGGCAGCGACATGAAAGGAGTTCAAGTCGGACTTGGATCTGATCTTCACGGTCTCAACATTACAGAACCTGATCAAGTAGCTGAACATCTCCTCCAGATTCTCCGCGGCGGCGATGTACACTGCGGTCTCTCCGGCATCGTTTTGCACCGCCATCAGATCAGAGACCGCCAAAGAAGACGATGTCGACGACGGCGACGGCGACGGCTCATCGGAAGTTTCATCCCTAGTCAACCTGTCGAGTATCTGCTTCAGATGATCGAGGTTCCCTGATCGGACGGCGGAGAAGAAAGCTTGGTGTGTAAGAAACCTCAGCTGCTTCGCCTCCATAACCCCAAAGCTCTGAGCTCTGAAACTTTCTCTCTCAAAAAAAAATCGCAACTTTCGTCAACAGGTGGATCCTACGCTGATTTCTCTACAATCATCTCACTCCGAACTCTGCTTCGCGATCCATGTGAAACCGTGTCAGATTCTTGCTTTCTTTCTTTTTCCTTTTTGGCCTTTTACATTCTTTTCTGAATTTTTGTCTTTTTGAATTATTTTTTCAAGCTTTCTAAGGATTTGCTTTTGTTGGAGAGTTGACACCAAAGTGATAATGGACCGTCTCTACATTTTCCTTCAATAATTTTATGCGATTGCTTACAACCATGAAATGATTGCCATCTTTTTTTAAAATAAAAACAATATAGCATTTTGTTTTTTTCTTTCACATTTTTTTTGTTCTTAGGATATTTTTTTTTTAAAGTTTTTATTGTAAGATATAAAGTTATAAGACTAAATCTAGTTTTAATTTCCAACTACCAATAATAATTATGTCTTGTTGTGGGTCGCTGGTCGTTGACAATCCCTTCCATTTTTTTTATTCATCATGTTTTCGTAAATATAAACCCTAAATGCACGATTTTTATATTGATCTGATTATTAAACTATATATGTCAGTTTAATTAAGATTTTCACAATATATATATATATATATATATATATATGTGTTAGTGAAATTTACGGATAAACCCTTGACCGTTTTTTTTTTGTATTGAAGTTTTGTTAGTCCATTTTTGTAACTCGATTTTAAAATAATTAGTATTGAATTGAATCTATAAATATGCATTATGAAATTCCAAACTCGTGTGGCCCGATTACATGTAGTTGGGCTTTTATTATTGAGTGGGGTCCTATATTATGGGCCTGTTCAGCCCATTTATTTCTATTGTTGAGATATTTATCATTTTTCTATTATATTTTGTGCTGAAGAGGCCAGTATATTATTATTGTATATTTCGATGCTTCGCCACGTCGTTATCGCACCGTCACCATCGGCGTAACGGCACCGCCACCGCCAATTATCAACCTCTCCGTCACCGTCATTTTCATCGTCAACCACCGTTTACCAGTTACATTTAATTTCCCAATTATTATTTCTTTTTTGGTACTAGTTCCTCCTTGATGACTGTATGCAATAAATACAAGCTCGTAGCAGAAATTCGAAAATGTAAAATAAAACCTTTTTTTTAAAGGTAGAAGAAAAGGTCATACGGTGGAATCACATTAGCCACGTATCAACGATGGTGAGAGACATTGTTTTTAAGATGTGATGATGGTTGAAGTCTGCTATTTTTGGATTTATTCACATATTAATAACAAAATAAAAGGAAAAGTTTCCAAAACTCACATATCATATGGTGGAAAATTTTATGCATTCCATAAAAAAAAAAAAAGATGACGTGATGTGATGAGCCATCTTTGAAATCCTGCTTGGATCCGACGTGGAAAAACCACATGTCAAGTAGTTCATAGTTTTTATAATTTCGATATTTATTTGAATATAGCGTTATCGTTCAATGATACATATCTGATTCTAATTGATTTTTTATTACAAATATTAAATCGAATAATGGGTTGGTTGATCCAAGAGATTGCCCCACGATTGTCTTGAAAGAGTCCATCAGTGAACGTGGAGATGGAGGCAGGAGTCTCTCATTAACCGCTCCTCATAAATTGAATCTCTCGCGTTACTATTTTTATTATTACCCCCACTAATAATTAAATATTATTTATATATTGGAAGACTGATAAAAACATGCAATTTTAGATTTTATGCCATCACAATACACACACGTATATATATATATATAGAGAGAGAGAGAGAGAGAGAGACTCGTAGAAGTTAGTCGGCTACCTATCTTTACTTCGTTCAAGATTTAACATTTTTTCCATCTAAATTGGAACTGATTTCTTTATAAGGAGATAACATCTCTATGCATGGAACGATCACATGCAAATTTTATTAATCATGTGAAATCCGAACTACTAAATTCTCAAAAATTTACTATTATAGAGAAAAGTAATCGAATCAAATCAATAATTACATCATTGTTATATAAAAAAAGTTTGTATCTATTTCGTATTTTAATCAAATAGAAGATAAATAAAATTGATGGTATAATTAAATGGGGTGGTGAGAAGTGTTGTTGATTATAATTAAACTCCAAAGAGGGGGGTGGGGGTGCACCAAAAGCCATGTGGGGATTCCGACCATTTCAACCGACACGACTTTGCTCGAGTCTTCCTAAGAAGGCGACATCTTCTACATTTTTATTTATTTATTTATTTATTTATTTATTTATTTATTGTATTCTTAGTTTATTGCAAAAACAAACTTCTCCATGCCATGCCTTTTGTGATGTGCAGATTATATAAATAAAACATCGTTTTCAGAATTTTGTTTTATACGGAATACTTAAATACATGAGAAAAAAGAGGTTAGGTTTTAGCTTTCTTTAGTGTATAATTATATATATTTGACAAAACTTTTTTAAAAATATTTTCTTAGTCTACTTCCCAACGACCAATCAATAAATGATAAAAACGATTTTTTTTTATTACAAACAATTTAATTCTATAAATACTCAATTGCTATGTTTTGCAAGGGTTATTATTGTTGTTGTTGATTTTGTTATTACTATTATTACCAAATTTCGTAAAGAAGACTTTTATACTCCTTTGATTGAAAATATTGGAGAAGCATGAAGGGGTAACCAACTTGAAAGTTAGGAAACAGTCTTTTTTATCATTTGTTTTCCAATGTAATCTTTGATGGGTTTATTGGCCAATTCGACCGAATGGAGCCAAACCGGACAAATTTTCAACTAATTCTAGATATAGACTAGGGATACATTTAACCAATCCGGGTAAAGAAATTCATTTTTTTTATTAAAAAAAAAAAGAGAGGCATGTTACGAAATTATTGCAATTTGCAAGTGATGCGGAACCACATATCCCGAGAGACCCTCGTGGTCGGGTCTAATTCCAGATTTGTCGGAAATAATTTCGGCATCCATTATTTTTTTATATATATATAGAGGGCATCCATTATTAATCCTATACAAAATTAATGACCCTTTTTTTCTTTATTTTTTTACTCTATTTTTTTTTCCCGCTGGAACGAGGGATTCCAACAGGTGAACTATGATTTTTTTGTTGATATAACGTATAATTATATTAATATTTCAAATTTTCAACTACATGCAAGTTAATATTGTTTATATGTGTGGTCCGTGTGGAGAACCCCTAAAGAATCTTGAGAATGCAAGACCTCTTACTTCATCGGTTTCATCTCTCTTATGATTCCTCTTAGAATGTTGGTGCAAGTTTTCTGTGGCTAAGATTTGTGGTAACACATCGTGTGGTGTTTTTTGTTTCATGGTCCATATATATATATATATATATTTTAATTTACTTTTGGATAATGTACTTTGCTCATATGTTAGCATATATAGTATTAGTATATTCAGATATATGATATGCCCTTGATGTACGCTATATATTATTCTATTACATGTTTGTTTTGGTACGTTAAAAATAACCCGATTAAATTAAATATTCATGTCATATTTTTTGTTTTGTTTTAGAAAAGCTATTAAAGTTGAATCATAGTAAACAGGGCGCGTAATTTAGTTAATATGGTTCATATTTACCCTTTAAAATTCTATATATATAAATCTTAATTTTGGATTTGTAGGAGTATATTTAAACAAGTAAATCATATTTTATTTTAAAATTAAGAGATGGTATCATATAGTAAATGAAAAAAATATCGGGTTTAGAAAATAAAAAAAAAGGAGGTTAAATTCGAATATAACTAGAATTTTAGAGCTGAAATAAGAAACAAAGTGGGAAAGTGGAGGAAAAATGCTGCGGAGATTTAGATAGGTATAGAATATTCGCATAGATTTTTCAGGAGGATAAGATGCCTGTGTTTAGTGGACACGTGGACACAACCCAGCCCTCTCAACATGCCACGACGTCAAAGGAGCTAGCACACGTATGCATGGTTACATATACGTGTATAATATATTTGCTAATTAACCTACGTAAATGTATGTACGTAAGTATTCATGTACACATACACGATGCACAGGTAACGGCGCATGACACATTCCTCTAGAGGTGAGTAAATTTCAACATTATGCTGCTACCAACTTATAACAATCGTATCAGCATGAAACTAATTAATGGATTCTTGATAACTTTCAACATAAATGCATATATATATATATATATATAAACTGTGTGCTTGTGAATCATTTTCCCTCTCTTTTGAAACATTCTAAAATGGTGGCTGGAAATTAATTTCATGCATGAACCCCATCCATACAAACTAGTATTATATTTTCGGCCTTTGCCTCGAAGGTGGTGGTGGAAATGTTAAATATTTTCTCTTTCACACACATTTGATAAAGTCTTGCCCAAATAAATTCATTGAACCTTGTTCTACGTACACATTTATTATAATGCGTGTTTATACAGTGTATAACATTATTTACCAAGTCCCCAGTAGATTAACAAATAATATAATCCGGAGAAATCGAAAAAGTGATCGCCATTCTTTTGTTTGTGTAAGAGCTTACAGCCCATATAACATCATATTCCATGATGTTTAATTAAGAGATGAATAAACGTTTTAAACTATACGTACTGAGCTCGAGATTTTGTGTACTATATGGTAAGACTAGTTACGTACGTATTAAACGCAGTAAAAGTAAAACTCGACGTGGCGGTAAATTGAAAGACATGTGCAGGATTAATTAATGTTAATGAAAGGGAGGAGTTGTTTGGAAGGAACGTGCCGCTGTCCCTCGAAAGTCTAACATGTATCCGCAACCACAGAGTAAACATAAACAGGCCGCGTGAGCCGAGCGACTTTTAAATTAATCGGCTCTTAATTACGATTAGTAATTAATCAACCAAACCCTCCGACACCGAAACCGCACAGAAACTCCTTCACAGGGACCGCGTTCCAATTATTAATTACCTAAATCATTGCCCGTCTGATTTTATTATATGGTCCTAGTACAGTTTTATCTAAATAAAAACTCGAGTTTTCGTTACACGTATGCTATAAATCAAGCCGTAAATTAACGTGTATATATACGTCTTCTTCTTTTAGATTACGGTTGCTCTTTCAACCCTTATAATTAATATATATTTATTCAATTCTGTACTTCCTAATGAACAATTCCAGACACAGATGCATTCAAAATCTGAAACATTCACGTGCCCACGGATTACATACATGGAGTTATATCCCTCGGAGAAAATACAAACGACAAGATAATATATTTGAAAATTTTGATTGGTGTCGAGTCAGTTGTGATGTCACATCGTTATCGTAAAGAGTACGTAAAGTGCTCCAATGACTGCGTGGACGAAATCTTAATCATAGCTCGCCGACGTTTATCATTCACATAGATTCACATGTGTCTAACAATGTACCATCGACAATTCATTCCTTCATGTTAATGTTTCATAGACTTTTACATTTTAAATTTAAATTCAAAATTTTTTAAGCCGCGTTCGAGAATCGCATATCCAGAATTATGTAGAATGTTGATAGACAATGTTGATCCATTTAAAAACATCATATATGCACACAACTGGACCCTGATGTTTAAAGATGTCAAAAATTATTGAAAATACGATTATGTATATGTGATTTGATAAATCAAGAGAATTGAATAAATGCTTTTTTTTTGTCCTAAATAAAAATACAGTATATTGGGTCATCTAGTAAACATAAATATTATTATTATATGATAAGATGAGGGAAAAAAACAAAAGAGAGCGGCCGTTTTCTATATAAAGGATAAGCCACTGGAGGCAGAGACAACGTCTCTTGTCTCATCCCCAACTTCTTCGTCATCATCAACATCATTCTCTACTCTCTCTCTCTCTCTCTCTCTCTCTCTCGTATTTCAGGCGCAACGGTTCCATTAAAACTTCTTTCATTTCTAGAAGGTTAAAAAGATTACAACTTTCGATCCGTTAACCAACCTAAGATTCGTGGGTTATTTGTTCACTTTCCCATTAACCAACAGATTCTTGTTCCTTCCTCTCTTTCTTTGCTCTTATCCCTCTGAAGCACAGAGCTCTCAAACGCAGCTCTGCCTTCTTCATCTTTGAAATCAGGGTTTTCCTCTCTCGTCTTGTGTTCTTGTCGGATATTTGACAGAAATGGTTTGCTTGGTTTCTCGTACGGGTCGCCAGTTCCAGAGATACAACAAGGGTCGCCGCCAAGTCGTCGGGTATATACATATATACATACCCGCGTACATATAATATATATTTATATGTGTAGATCTGCACATATATGGTTTCCTGGGTACTCTGCGTTTTGGACGCAAACGCTGGTTTTACATATAGATTTAACCCTGGACCTCTCCTGTTCAAGGAGAGCGATTGCGATTCTACTCGCTTATAAACTGTTATATATGAATTACCAAGTTGCTGAATTCATCATCCAACTATTTAAATTTTGCTGGAAAGTCCTATTAACTAGTTCAATTTAAAGTAATTTGATTGGCCCGAGAAGGACCCGGATGGGTTATTTCGCAGAAGGATCCATATTTATTACAAAATCTGCAACTTTCCGAAAAACATTTGACTTTTTGGGTTACATAATTGTGTGATTTAATATTCGTTTCTCTTTCTTCTCTTTCTAATACGGGAATATGGGGGGAATTGCAGATGTATTCCGTATAGATTCAAGATATCCAGCGATGGCACCATCAGTGACGAGCTTGAAGTTCTTGTCATCACTTCGCAGAAGGGTCACGCCATGATGTTTCCCAAGGTATGATCCTGTTTTTCTTCTTAACTATTTATACATGTGATCAATCTGGTGCAATAATAACTATATGAAAAATTTGCAGGGAGGTTGGGAGCTTGATGAGTCTGTAGAAGAAGCAGCTTCTAGAGAATCCCTTGAAGAAGCAGGAGTTCTTGGCAGCATTGAGGTATGTATCATCTTAATGTGTGTTGTATAAATGAGGAGTTCCTTTTTCTGTTTATATATACATTTTATTGAAAGAGGGTGGGTTTGGGTGATGAGTGCAGAGTCAACTGGGGAAATGGGACTTCCTGAGCAAAAGCAGAGGGACGTTCTATGAAGGGCTAATGTTCCCAATGCTCGTCAAAGAGCAACTTGATCTCTGGCCCGAGCAGCACCTCAGGCAGCGCATTTGGGTCAGTCGAAAGAACGAGGATCTTGATTGATGATGGGTTCTCTTGTGGGATTAAGGGAAACTGACGTGTTTGGTATGCATATACAGATGACGGTGGAAGAAGCGAGAGAGGCGTGCAGGGATTGGTGGATGAAGGAAGCTTTGGATATTTTGGTCGAGAGACTTTCTTCTTCTCCAAGGAAGAAACCATCGCCTACTCTGTTTGCTGGCACACAGATGGACCTCTCCTGATATGGTGATCATCCACATCTCTGTAGATACAAATTTAGATGTCATGGATCGACTAGAGGACGGACCAAACGAGCGATAGTTGCAGGAAGAAAAATGTAAGATTTAGGAGGAACTTGTGTTGTGTGCTTATGCTTTTGCTTAGGAACAAGGAAATGCTTTTGGGGGGGAGGACAAGCCCACTTGTAACAGTTGTGTTTCCTCTGTCATGTTCCCCCCTTTGTTTTTGTTCTTCTTCCACCTTAGAAGAATTTAGTTCCCATTTCTCCTCTCCCAAAAAAAAAAAAAAAAAAAAAAAAACATCTGGACAATTTCTCCACAAACCTGTAATTGAAGTGCAAGTGGTTACCAATTTCACAATGGTCATCCTCTATGATTTGCTCTTTTACTCCCCAAATAAAACCTGTGATGAAAGAGACATGCAATACTATACGACTGGTTAGATATGCAATACTTTTGTTCATTTATATAAATTATAAGACCGAATATTATTAATTTCAACCCATATCTCTCGGCCCAAACTTACGAGCCCATGTGCTTATGCCTCATCTTTGATCTATTATTTATCTTCTTTAGACTAATAATCTTTAATCCTACCAAGACTTCTACTCTAATTAATTTTATGAAGATTTTTTTCGGGTTTAGTCTGGTTGCTTAATTCAAACTCTCCCCATCACACACAGATACAAATTAAATGCTTTCCCAAGACAATTCAAACTCTTAAATCTACGGATTAGATACCACGAAAATCCGGATACGATCAAGTGGTAGGCAAAATCCCTAAACCACCAGGTCCTCCAAGTGTTATTTCTCTTCCACAATTATTTGAGTTTGGTTTCTCGTCTGACGATCTCAACGACTTTAAATCCCTGACCGTGGACTTGTCCCAACCCCCTTTCAAGTCATTGTTTTGCACTTTTCCTTATTTTGTTGTGTTCTCTCTCTCTCTCTCTCTCTCTGCAACTGTCAGGAGCCGAGCCACAGCAACAATGGAGGAAAGCCAAGGATTTGCACTGACCCAGTTGAGGAAATCGATTGAGAACCTCGGTTGTTCTACAGAGGTAATCGAAAATCGTGAATCTCAAGCTTCTTTTCCCTCTCGTTTAGCTACTCCGGTTCATAGGTTTCCTGTTCTTGTTCTCTGCTTTGTGTTTTCTTTCTCTGGTCGAGGTATGGGAATCCGACACGATGAGTTAGTTGCCTGTTCGATAACAGTTTCGATTTTGTGGAAAAGGTCGTATCATCTGGTTAGTCTGGTTCAGGGGGGTTTCTGTTGTTCGTTTTGGTTCGGTGGGAAATGAGTCGTTTGTTTAGGTTTGTGTCTCTCGTCTGAATCCAGTCGAAACAACGGACGGAAGTTATGGAACGTTAGTGCTTTAAAAGCTCGGGCATTGAAGGACATATGGGCTTTCTTCGGCTAAAATTGTGTGGACGAGAGAAATGGAGAGTGTAGTTTGCTCTTGTGTTCTTGATTGGCTTATCTGATCGTCCTGTTAGTTTCGTAGATATCTGAGTTCTGCTGTTTTTTTGTTAAAGATTTGTTTCTCTCTTGTTCAAGCTTAAAGTCTTCTCCTTTACTCGTTTAGGTTCATGGGTCTAAAACGATTCCAATGCTCGAGTTTTCTATTCCGACCAACTAGTTGATGGGGAGTTTTTGACTGTTTTTTATTTGTGCTTTGGTAGAAGCATGAGAATCCGACATTGATGAGGTTCTTGGTGGCAAGATCAATGGACCCTGAGAAGGCAGCGAGGATGTTTGTGGATTGGCAGAAGTGGAGATCCTCCTTTGTTCCTCAGAGTGGTTTCATCCCTGATTCCGAAGTCAAAGACGAATTGGAATCCAGAAAACTCTATCTTCAGGGTCCTTCCAAATCAGGACACCCAGTGATGATCGTCAAAGCAAGCAAGCATTACCCTACCAAGGACCAAGTTCAATTCAAGAGTAATACTCTTAAACTTCTCTTCTTTCATCTTACTTGCACGCAAAGGATATAGTCTCCGTGGTCACAATGTCTAAGATTCGACTTGTATTGGATGCAAACAAACTTATGGAGAGGGTTTTAGGACAAAAAGTTTCGGTCAGATACGTTATATAGAGCTATTTCACTTCCTTCAATGTGATTTGTGTTGCAGAATTCGTCGTTCATATGCTGGACAAGACAATTGCAAGGTGTTTACACATTATGCAAACCGCAATTTAAAGTGTTACTTGTTCAGTGATTCACAATGGAAACCTGGTTACTTGTTTCAGTGGCATCAAAGGAAAAGAAGTAGGAAATGAGAAGTTGATAGGCATCCTTGACCTGCAGGATATCGGGTATAAGAATGTCGATACCCGTGGATTGATAACTGGGTTTCAATTCTTACAAGTAAGAGCAAAATCTTTCGGCTATCACTGAAACCGTTGCAAGAAACAAAAGGGTTGGCTCATATTGGTATTTTTGATAACATCTTTGGCAGGCTTACTACCCGGAACGACTGGCAAAATGCTACCTTTTGCATATGCCGAGATTCTTCGTGGCCATCTGGAGATTCGTTTGCCGATTCCTCGAGAAAGCAACTCAAGAGAAGGTGTTTAGTCTCTCTCATCCACTTTCTTGTCAGATGTTTGTGCATTAAGGACACTGCCGGTATAACTCGTGGAAATTTGCAGATAGTGATAGTGAGGAATGAAGAAGAAGGAAGGAAGATGGTGGAAGAGGTTGGAGAAGAGGCCTTGCCTCAAGAGTACGGAGGCCGAGCAATCCTCACTGCCCTCCAAGATGTTGTTGTCCCTTCTCCTCTTTCTTGATTCTCTTCTTCCTTAAACTCTCATTACTTAGTTTAATATCTGCACTTTGTTTACAATTGTCGACTACAATATTTCTACTAACGTCGTTAACTCTCTGCCCCCATATGCTCTTATATCCCTTAATTGACGTCACGTATTTGTAATAACGCCGTTAAATTCATATACAAATGAGACAAATACTGATTAACAACTAACAAGAACACCAAACCCCACCCTTGTCTTTCCTTCAGCCGCCTTCCTAACTCCGCGTCTCCTCCTTCGTTACGGCGACGACAATGGCGACGCTTACTCATCAGGCCCCACGTACCCATTTCCTCTCCGGTCTTCCCCTCCGTTCGCGGCCTCGTCCCTTCTCCGCGAGGGTCAGGATGTCCCTCCAGGAATCAGCGCCGTCTCTCGCCGTCGTCGGCGTCACCGGCGCCGTCGGACAGGAGTTTCTCTCCGTCCTCTCCGACAGGGATTTCCCCTACAGCTCTATCAAGATGCTCGCCTCCAAACGCTCCGCTGGAAAACGTGTTGCCTTCGATGGCCATGAGTACACGGTGGAGGAGCTCACGGCGGAGAGCTTCGACGGCGTCGATATCGCGCTTTTCAGCGCAGGTGGATCCATAAGTAAGCAGTTTGGTCCGCTCGCGGCGGAGAAAGGCACCATTGTCGTCGACAATAGCTCTGCGTTTCGGATGGTCGATGGAGTTCCGTTGGTGATTCCGGAGGTGAATCCAGAGGCCATGAAAGGGATTAAGGTTGGGACGGGGAAAGGGGCTCTGATTGCGAACCCTAATTGCTCCACCATCATCTGCCTGATGGCTGTGACACCTCTTCACCGTCACGCCAAGGTCCGATTTTTGGTTTCGATTCTTGGGTGTTTATTCGAGTTTTCGAACTCTGTGTTTGAATGATAGGGATTTGAAAGCTATACGTGCCATTGTTAATAAAATGAATCCGTGAAGATATACGAATTTCTACCGATTCTTGGCAGATGGAAATGTAGAATATTCCCTGTTTGTTGTGATTTCTTTTCGAAGAAATGGATTGAGCTATACTTATGGGAAAATCACTTTTGAGGAAAGAAGAACAGGTGGTTGATCAATCAAACGGTGAAAAATATCAAATTTCTGCAGATTTTTACGGATGGAGTTGACCAAAATTCGTGTATTTTGTGTTGTTTGAAAGAGGAAGATACAAAATAAACACGTGAGAAATTATGAGAAAGTAATGCACTGACTACTTGCTTATTTTCCCCCGGCAGGTGAAGAGAATGGTGGTTAGTACATACCAAGCGGCTAGTGGTGCAGGTGCTGCTGCCATGGAAGAGCTTGTGCAGCAGACTCGCGAGGTTTACTTTCTCTTTCAGCGTTTTCATGGTCCTCTCCTTTCCTACGGTTTCTCTGAGTGATTTCCTTTGTTGCTCCAATAGGTTCTAGCAGGGAGACCCCCAACTTGTAACATATTCAGGCAGCAGGTAACTGCTTGTTGTTATTGTATGTTGTTTTCGAACTGATCAAACTTGAGCTGTTTTTTTTGGTTCTCCATCGATACTCAAATAATTTCTGTGATATGCAGTATGCTTTTAATCTGTTTTCACATAATGCTCCTATTCTCGAGAATGGGTACAATGAAGAGGAGATGAAACTTGTCAAGGAGACAAGAAAGATCTGGGTGAGTGTTATTAAGAGCTATTGCATTTTCTTTATGGTAATTTGATGGTGTTGATGAGGGGTCCCTGTTTCTTGTTCTCCCAGAATGACTCGGAAGTACGAGTGACAGCGACATGTATACGTGTTCCAGTGATGCGTGCTCATGCAGAGAGTGTAAATCTCCAGTTTGAGAATCCCCTTGATGAGGTAATTTCTACACAGCTGTCTAGCCCTTTTCTCATCGCTCCGTATAAGTAGCTCATGTGACAATGTATGTACTTGAGCTATATCTTTGAGTCTTGGTGTCCTAATGATTTCACTAGCTTTCCTCCACGGGTATTCAGTTCATGTCAAAATCGGATCTTGTCTTCCTCCTCCTCCACAAGAGTAATAATAAGCTCACATGGGTTATCTGACTCTGACACAGCTGAGAAATTTTGGCATTGTGCATTTTCAGTGGTTCTTGCTGAATTGTAGTGGGGGCTAAGAATGATGATGAAAACCGGAAGTTTTGGTCCTTCCTGTTGTGTGTTCAAAGGATCAAATGATTTATCAGAGGTTCTTTTTCTGTCATGTTCTGTCCTGAGCTTTTAACAGTTAGTTCTCTTGTCATTTCTGCAGAACACAGCACGGGAGCTTCTGAAAAATGCACCTGGAGTTTACATAATAGACGAGCGTGCTTCAAACACCTTCCCGACTCCGCTTGATGTATCGAACAAAGACGATGTTGCTGTCGGAAGGATACGCAGAGATGTGTCTCAGGAGGGCGATTCCGGGTGAGTTTTCTTCTTTCTTCATTCACATTCAAAATTCTGCGATGGCTACGTCATGTTGGTGTGCTGAAAGGAGAGGGATCTGTTTCGGAATCGCAGATTGGACATATTTGTATGCGGTGACCAAATACGCAAAGGAGCTGCTCTCAACGCCATCCAGATCGCTGAGTTGCTTCTCTGATTCAATCTCTGGTCCTGTTCCTTTGAGAGAACCAACTGCTTGGTTTCTTCAACACTTGACCCAAGTTTTTGTGTGTGGTTTCTGAATTTGGTCTCTTGAGCAATTTGCTGTCTTTTTGGGGCGTTGACGGGTTTTGACCAAACCGGTTTGGTTAATGGATGATGGTTGGTGTAACTCGATCACGAGGAAAGATGGATATTCTCCTTCATTTGTCAACTACGGAGAAGGAGAAGGTGGCAGGAGTAAGAGTAAGAGTGGCTTCAGCTGATAATTTCTCTCACTCCCCAACTCCTTCCTCGTTAAGGTCTTTTAGGAAAATGACCATTGTTGCATTCAAAAGGAGTGGGGGTCCCACATCTGTCTGCTATCCATCGCCTTCTTCTTCAAGGACCTGGGAAAATGACCCACTTTTATCTCGAATCTAGAAATTGAACGCTACATGATGCTTTATTGCTTACAGTTTTAGAATGTATCGTATCCAGTGTTTGACTTCTCCTTTACTTAATCTAGAAATTGATTATTTCAAGTTGCAAAAATCGTATAATTTAACCTGGGTATTTGTATACACCATGATATTATAGAAAACGCATTTTTTTTTAAAGATAAGAATCAACTATTGCGTGAACAAAATAAACTTGAAGAAGTGTATAAATTTCTGTTCCCTCAACTTGACCAGTTCTTTAATCTCTCTTTAATCTTTTAAAGATTCCTGCCAAAAGGATCTTTAAATCATTTTTATGGATCATAACTTCCTATTGGATAATCGGAATAGTGACGTCAGCGATCGAGCTTCTAACCTTCCCATTGGCTCATCGGGGTAGTGACGACAGCAATCGATCGTCAGCAGGAGTAAGGAGTATGCACTGCGAAGCAGAGGATCAAGCCTCAAGAAGAAGACCCCTCTCCTCCGGTCTTGCAGCCTATAAAGAAAACGTCGCCAGAAGAACGACCAGGGTGGACTGAGAAGTGTGAGAGGGAGTGAGTAATCAAGGACACAGACCATAATCTCGCTTTCTCCGGCGATCTCCGGTGGCGTCGATCACATCACCGTCTTCTTCTTCTATGATCCACGACGAAAGCCGCGACCTTTCCTACGGTACGTCGCCATCAGGAGTTTGCTTTTTCTTCGTTTCCTAGTTCATTTTTACAGCTTTAGTTCGGAATTTCGCATTTTCTCCTTTTGTTTTTCTTAATTCCGTGATCTTTAATTCGCTCGAAGCCCTCTTGTAGCCTTGTATGTGCGAATCGTTCTGGTGCTACCTTCCGGGAATTGGTTTCGTCTGAGATTCTCTCTGTCTTGTTCTGATAAAAAAATAAAAGATCCTGTCTTTTTTACATGTTCTTGTCGTCGGAATTCCCTTATTCATCCTCTCATGCGTTACTATGTTTGGGTCCATTTTGCTTTTCATGACCTGATAAGTTGATATCCTTGTGAGGAAAGGAGGAAACTTTTCAAAATTTTATTAGTTTAATTACTGATCGATTTGAGCCTTTAGGTTTCTTCAGGATGTTTTCGATAGCATCACGCTTTTGTTTTGTTTCCAGCAAGTTAGCTTTGAAGAGGAATTTATGAGAAAATGGGGAAGACGATTCAAGTTTATGGATTCCCGTCTGATGTGACGGCTGCAGAAGTTAAGAACTTTCTAGAACAACGCACAGGCCTCGGCACCGTTTTTGCAATCAAGGTCAGGCAGCCGAAGAATGGCGGTGCAAGGTCCTATGCCATTGTTCAATTCACGGCCACGAGATGGGCAGAGCTTATAATCTCACTGGCCGACGAACGCCTCTGGTATGGAAGATCTTACCTCAAGGCCCGGGAGATGTCGCAAGACATTGTCCCGAAACCGAGAGTTCTCTCTCATAACATATCGGATTTGAGAATGCACTTTGGCTGTCAGGTCTCAACTGACAAGTTTTCTGTCCTCTGGCGGGCTGAAAACGTTCATTTGGCATTTGGAACCGGGATGAGAAAACTTCATTTCACGATATCTTGCTGTAATGCAGATTACAAACTTGAGCTGCCCTATGAAAACATCTGGCAGATTGATTTGCATTCACCCAAGGGAGAATCTTCAAAGTATCTTGTGATTCAGGTTTGTTGCCCGCCCGGTTCTTGATTCTGTGTCTGGTAAGTGTGTGTCTAATCTCACTTGATGTAAGTCTTTGATGTGTAGGTAATTGGTGCTCCTCGGATCTTTGAGAAAGACAATGAAGAATCTGTCACGATTCTCTTTGGACTTCGTGATTTCTACAGAGATGGAACCGATGAGGAATGGATTAGAAGGACTGATTTTACCCCTTCGTGTTATGTCGGTCAATCATCTGCCTTCTGTGTGGAGCTTCCTGACTGGCTTGTTCTTCCCAATTTCAGGGAGAATTTCGCTAACTATAAAGAACACAAAGGGAGCACCTTTGTGCTTGAAACCGGCTCTAGTTATTCCTCAAACAGAAATGAATTGGTTCCAGTGGTAGATCCGCCTCCTGGGGCCGATTTGCCTTTTGAGATCTTGTTCAAGGTTAACATCTTGGTCCAGAACGCATGTCTCTCTGGTCCAACACTCGATATCCGTTTCTACGAGCTGCTTGATCAGGATAAGTTTGACAGAGCTTTAATAGATCATGCTCTCAGCAAACTGTTTCATCTGAGGGAGTGTTGCTACGAACCTGCACGCTGGCTCGCTGAAGAATACCGCAAATGGGTTGCTCGTGGAAGGCTTCCACAGTCTCCTGCGATATCTCTGGATAATGGACTTGTTTATGTGCACCGAGTGCAAGTAACCCCTTCAAGGGTATATTTCTGTGGGCCGGAGGTGAACGTTTCAAACCGTGTTCTTCGCCATTACTCAGAGTATACCAGCGATTTTCTCAGGATCTCTTTTGTCGATGAGGAATTGGAAAAGATTCATTCCACGGTTCTGTCTCCCCGGTCATCTCGGAGGAGAACCCACATATACTACAGGATCCTCTCTGTTCTCCGGCACGGGATTGTCATTGGTGATAAGAAGTTTGAGTTTCTCGCGTTTTCTTCAAGCCAACTCCGGGAAAACTCTGCGTGGATGTTTGCATCAAGAGATGGGCTTACAGCTGCGGATATAAGAAGGTGGATGGGGGATTTCAGCAGTATAAAAAACGTAGCAAAATACGCTGCAAGGCTTGGCCAGTCCTTCGGTTCATCAAGAGAGACTCTCAGTGTTAGCAAGGATGAGACTGAAACCATTCCTGATATTGAGATCACAGTTTCTGGGAAACACTATGTGTTTTCCGATGGAATCGGGAAAATCTCGTCTGCATTTGCCGATCTGGTCGCCAAGAAATGTGGCCTCACGGATTTCACTCCATCGGCATTCTAGATTCGTTATG